TTAATCTAAAATAAAATTATAAGATAATATACCAATTTGATGATGAATAATATAAAAGATATTTATAAATATTAATTTATATAAATCTAAATAATTAAATATAAGAAGTGTACTGGTTGTATTTTCAATAAAAAGAGATTAGACATATGAATGATATATATTGCATATAAACCAATATTTATATCTAATCATATTATAAGATGCAAACAAACATAGCTTTTGAATGAATTAAAAATAAATATGTATTAGGAAAATATAATGATAAAAAAATACTTTGACCTAATTTTAAGCTGTTTTTTGTTTGATATGTATTGCATAATTACTATAAATAAATGTAACCCTAAAGCTCTCAATACACTTTATATAGGGTTTCTAGCTTATTATTTCAAGGATATATTTATTCATTTTCTTAACTTTTCATTTTTAAAATAAAGTTTGCAATATATATTTTAATCTAACTTTTGGTCATTCTAATTAAAAATTATTTTCTTTTATGATTGCTTAGAAGGGAGTTGAAGGCCTAGTTTGGATTGCATTAGTTTACTCGAATAATTGTTTCAATAATTTCATGATAATACGAAATAATCCTTTCGTTCCAATTAACTAAAAACGAATTATATAAGCGAAAATAAATATAGATATATTAAAAGACTGCATATTTGCAATTTTGAGTAAAAGTTCAGAGAGAAATAATTTTTACATAAATTAATCATTAGTATTAATAATTTTGTATTATATATAATCCCAGCTTAAATATTAATTGATTATATTTAATCAATTTAACCTCTTAAAGATCTTTTTGAAAAAGACTGTTTAACTGTAAAAACATTATAAAATGCTGAATGCCTTATATATTAAACCAAAAGTAACTATAAAATACTTTTCTTTAAACCTATTTAGTTTCAAAATACTCTTTATTATTTTATAAAACCTTTCTAAAAAGTCATAATAAACACTATTTTACAAGAACTTTTTATTTTAAATAAATTTATTATTTGATATGATTATACTATTTAAA